ATGATTTTAAAAGGTTGTATGTAAATTCTAGTGTGATACGTGTAATTTCTTGATAGGATATTTCTTTTGTATTTAGCGATCTTCCTAAAATGAATGATTTTCATCGTATATTATGCAACCCAAGCTTTGTCCACAGTTATTAGCGATATTCTCGCGTTATGTAATACGTATAAAACTTCCTTGGTTTATACCTCCGGAGTACCACCTACCACCGTCCAATAATTTATCCCATACTTTGAGCCCGTACGATCTTGATCTAAAAGCGATTAATCGACTGTACGACCCTTCGCGGATACAGATCCAGGGCATTATCGAGGTCGTTTAAATGCGCATTGAGCATAAATTTATTACCCTATTTGGAAATAGCGTGATAAAAGTAAGAGAGAGAAAGAAGAAAAGAGAGAGAGAGAGAGAGAGAGAGAGAGAGAGAGAGAGAGAGAGAACATTTCTTGGGAGGGTGGTGTAAAGATTCTTCTAAAGGAATGGGAATGAATATAAGGAATGACGCAGGGTGGTAGAATCCCAAGGACCGGTGTACCGCTAGTCAGCCCCTTATGAAGGGTAGGAAGCAATTATAACACTAAATTAAGGGCGAGGAAAATTTGGCAATTACGCTGCTTCCAAAGGGATAAAGTTGCAGGATGGTCGTTTTTTAGTAGTACGTTTGAATACTTCAAGGGGGTGGAACTTCTTACGAGAGTGTCCAAAAAGGAGGGTAAAAACTTTCTGCTCTCTCTAATTGGCCCTGTAAAGAACATAGGAGCGTAAGTAATTATTGCGAACAAAGTTATTCCCTATCGATATTCTCTATTATGTTTTATGTCTATTATTTTGTCGTCAGATAAATATAATTATATTCTTCTTATTCTACGAGAGTATTGTAAAAAACAAAACGCACGCGCACGCACACACACGTAGAAAGAAATAAAAAGAAATATGGCGGACACCGGAGTCAGTAATTAAAACCATTTTGAAATAGTCGAGAACGTGTGCGAGCTTAATTTAAGAGACGTTTAGTGGAGTAGAAGGGAAAGAGGAGTAGAATAGAGAGGACTGACTATCGATATCGTAGTGGAACGCATTCGAGGGCGCATTCCAGGCACACGTTCCAGCCACGCGTAGAACGCCGATGACGACGGTTTACGGCGTTGACGTGGTGCTGTCCGTCACGAAGCGGACGTTACACCACATCGGATATACTCTGCGAGTGTGAGAGAGAATAAAAGAGAGAAGAAAAAGAGATGGAGGTCTCACACCCTTTTAGGGTGGTGACCAAATATATATATGTATATATATATTCGGTTGGATTACATTGGACTACCAATAGCGTATACGTACACATGGAAATCGCACGCAGGACGATCTAGACAGGTTTTAGTGTGAAAGAGAGATAGAATGAGGAGGGGGTGGGCGAGAGGAAAGGGGATGATGTGGCGAGAAACGATAGAAGAGGGCGACGGCTGCGGGTATTGCGATCCGTCAGAGCGGGTAAACCGAAAACATAAATTTAATAGGTTTCACCCCCTTCTTCGAGCTTTATGGCGCCACCGAATTTCCCATTAAATAAACAAGCGCCATGTTCATTACAGGCCAACGGGATCTCTCTCGCCCTCGGTCTCTCTTTCTCTTTCTCTCGGCTGATCGAGCCCGCCTCTATAAAGCTATGTCTGTGTATGTTCGACCTCGAGCTCTACGTTATGCAACGTGCATGCGTCTAGAGGCTTAGACCGCGGCTTGTGGTTAAGGGCTAGGTATCTGTATCTCGTCGCCGAACGAACCTCCTACTTTACCCCGCGAGTACACCCGAAATTACGTACCTACATCCTTTATGACCGAGTTCTCTACCTCTGTCGAATCGCGTGTTTCCTATTTCTTCATTTAAACTTTTTCTACTTATTTTATAATGAATTTTTTTGTGTTCGACCGTTTCTGATTAAGTCATGGATTAGTTAACACTTCTTCTACGTGTTGTCAAATAAATCTTCCTGAACGTTGAGTATTTAACGCGATATAATGAACCAAAGATATTCGAACGAATTCGATATTCTTTATAGACGATTTATACCTAGACGAATTCATCGATCTATCCATTAATCCATCAATCCAAGGCTTCGTTCGACTCGTTTTTAACTTTTTTTTTTCCTCGTTCGAAGCATTTCCTGCGTGGAGTTTTATCGGTAACACCGCATAGTCATCGTACGTACAGACGCGAAACACTGTAACTCCTGCTTGCTGATAATTAGCGCATCCATCAGTTGCAGCAAGCCGGCAGCTAATGCCGATCGTACGTTATCGTTATCACAGCCTCCCCATTTTGTCCCCTACCGTATCCTCGCCCCTCTTCGCCGCCTATTTTCCCTCTACCTCTCTCTTCCTATCACCCCCGAAGCTACCCTTTCCCGTCTATTTGTACGCTGTGCGTACGAGACCGAAACACCGTTCGGCGAGTACAGCCATTGCCATCAGCAACACTAACACCAGCATCGTTACTAGGCATTGCCGACAACACTTGCACTCGCGATACCAACGACGCCCAGCCTCGCGCCATAACCATCGGCGAACTTTCTACCCCCTTCTATCCACCCTTCTATCCACCCTTCTATCCACCCTTCAAACTCATCCCCTTGATATCGATGGGCAACGCACGAGCTGTCGATGTGACCAATAATCTAATAACCAGTCACCAGCAATGCGTCGTATGTCATATCCTTGCGGACTTTTCCTCATTGCATATCCAACCAAAAGCAATATCGTCGTTGCTCTTCGATCATCGATTCGTCGAGACGACCTGCAACGACAACAGAAAATCGTCAGACTCAAAGTATTGTACAATGAGAACTCTACCGATGCTCGATAAAAATATGATGTCTCATATACGATTTATCGGCTTTCGTTCGTTCGTTCGTTCGTTTCTCTTTTTAGTTTGAACCTGTCCGTCAAGCTTTTTCAAATAGAGCTTTCTCTATCATGTTAGAAATAATCTCAATTTTTCGAGTTTATCGATCAAATTCTAACGCTATTTTTATTATTTACCTTTCTTTTCGTCTCTCGCCATTTTATCCTTTAATATAAAAGCAATAAATCTAAATGTAGCGAAGAGTTGTGTTAAAATTGTATCCCTCTCTCTTCTCGAAGTATTTTATTGACATTTATATTCAGCTTCGGAAAACATAATTGATGAGATACAATTTAGATGACTATTACGCATTCGATAACTTTCTCCTACCACATTAACGTATACCAAACGACTATTTTATATTCATTAAACATAAACATGATATTCTACTTTATGCAAAATAGTCATATATTATACCTAGAAAATGATACATTATTTATAAATATCAAGTAGGTTTGCAATGTTGCAAATAGTTACTAAATTACAGTGAACTTCGATTCGTGAAAGTATAGGTAACGTGTGAATAAATTAAAATTCTGTAAATTTTATCTCGGAGAATATTAAAAAAAAAAAAAAAGACAAAAACTGGGGGAGAAAAAAAATATAGAAAAAAGTGTATGGAAAATCCATGGATTTCATACGCAGTACGTAAAAAATAGGATCAGAAAAGAGATTTTTTTTTTTCTTTTTTTTTTTTTTCTCTATCTCTATCTATCTCTCTCTCTCTCTCTATAATCCCAGGCAATGTTTCAATCCGCATTCTGCGATCATGATAGCGCATTGTTGTCGGTGCATGCGCGCATCTCACGGCCGCGGGCCACCAAATGATCCAGAACACCTCTGGGAATTGGTTTGGGGATGGAAGAGGAGTGAGAGAGAGAGAGAGAGAGAGAGAGAGAGAGAATAACAGACAGAGTGAGATAGTGGGTGGGCACGCGTGCTCAAACACAGGAGAGAGAGAGAGATAGAGCAAAGGGCCGGCGTTATAACTAACCAAGCTGATCTACGACCTGTTTAGTAGTTCTATATCAGCGCTATAGCATGCTCCGGTACACGCAATCGAATCGCCTCCTATGTCGATAATATCTAACTTAAGTAGGTAACAACCAACGCGTACGTACACGCACACATGAAATATACATATGCGTTTATGCATATGTGTATACATGTACAAATATACATAAATGCAAGCATATGGTTACGAATGGACAGCCACTCTATTTTACATGACTGAAAATATCCTCGTTATCGACGATGGTATGCGTAGAAGTTGTTAGTTAGCATTGTTCGCCGATACCGAATATACATTTTAAGAGGGACTTATTGCATTGACTCCTTTCGGTTTCACCATCCTTACATGTACGGTACAATTAAAGTCTGGTGTGTTGTTGTTAGATTTTTTTTTTTTATATTTTTTTAAATATAATTCTTAAAATTAATCTTGATCTTGGGTAACAAGTGATTTTATTAATGTCAAATCGCATTATACGTAGATTCAAATCGTTGCATCATTTTTAATAATATTATATTGATTTCAATGATATGTATGAAGAAAATTTGACAGAAATTACACAATAATGTAGGAATCTTTTAATTTGAATAAAGTTTACGAGAGTGGAAGAATGTAAAACGTTGAAAATCGTAGCCTCGTGACGTATAATGGATTATTAACGGATCCAATACACGGTTATATACGCGTATTCGATAAATCGAGCCGCAATCACGCTACGGGATTTCGTTGTCGGTCCGATACTACCGAACGAAGCGCACGTTAATTTTTTAATCCCTTGGCACAGCCCGAGACGATTTTAAATATGAATCCTTCATTCGAAAATGAAACTGCCTAGCGTACTAGAAATATCGTCATGTCGAAAATATCGGCATTATACGTCACACTTTCGTTCAACGTATACGTACATGTACAAATGTATATAATATAATATACAGGTAAATCCATACATTAAACCGCGTGCCACTAACGAGTAACAACGGCTCGTTAATCGTATCTCACATTTAAATTCGATTCTCATAAATCGATTGTAAGTATCAAGCTCTCTCTATCGATATCCAATCCGATTACAATTTTTTCCAACTATTTTTCCAGGTAAGGACGATATTGCTAAGCCACATTGGACATGGTTGCAAGGTGAGTCGTGCTTCATTGAAACTTAAATCGATCTCCATTAATTATCCATTCATTCACGTGTTTGATCCACGCCCCGTTGACGAAACTTCTCAAAGTTTATAGTATTACGTTATCGCTGATAGGGCACAGATGTTCGATGTTCCTAAAATTTCATAGAATTCACGATATTCTGTGTGATTCACGAGAAATCTTCGAGGGTTAGAAGTCGAGGGAAGAAGAAGGGAACACATTTCGTTGGGCAATCTTTAAACTCTGTCCCTTTCCATCTCCATCAACGAGAATAGTAAGAAATAAAGAGGGAGAGAGAGAAACTCAGAGAAATAGAAAGAAAAAGAAGGAGGAACGGAGAACAGCTGTTAGAGTAGTGCCCTGCCACGATGTAGGATCCTTTAAAAAATTCTACGTCAGAGGAAAGGTGTGTGTGTGAGAGAAAGAAATCGAGAAGGAAAAAAGAAAAAAGAAAAATATACGAAAGGGAGAAAGAAAAAGAGAGGGAATCGGGATAGAGAAGAGTGGAGAACGATGCCTTCGAGGGTAATCAATAAATATTGGCTCTCGGGGGTGAAATTGGGGTAGCCGAGGTGGAGAAGACGAGGTGGGGAAGACGAGGTGGCGGGGGTGAAAGGACAGTCGTGCTGCTGCGGTTGCCGCCCCTTTCCTATGGCACACGACGTATGGCAGATATAACCACTTGGTATAGGCAATGGAGAATCGCTCACGCTTGGTAATTCCCTCAGAGTTTCTCTGATCGATACTCACTTTAGGCCCGTTCTGCTATTGCAAACGATCGCACAGAGGCTCTTTAGAAGACTACCACACCTTCCGATTTATAAGAAAAATGTATTTTGGGTAAACCGACGGTTTCGGTCGTCTAATTTTTCTTCAAGAACCAAACTTTTCCACTATTTCCGAAACTCGTAAATCCTAACTCCATGGACATGATTAAGTCGATCTCAGATAGAAATCTTTTTCTTATTTTTAAGACTAGGAGAATCGAATTCGACTACTTGGCATCGATAATCGAGAGAAGAAGGTGAATTTGAAATTAAGAGGAGAAAGAATAGATCGAGGGTGAGGAAACTCGCTGACGGTGAATTATTCGGGTCGACGAGCCGCATAATGGGAATGTCTTGATTACCAAATCGATCATTTATGTCTTTTCGTGTTCTTTGATCACGTCTTTTATATATTTTTTTCTCTTCCATGTTGGACCGAAAATGTCGAAATGTTTTACTTGACACGTAAGACATTATTTTTTGTCTTAACAAATATTTGCTTATTTCTAATGAGAATTAAATCCGATCGATGTGCAAAATTCAGTATCAATTTGGAGCTTTTAACTTTGAACATACGTTCACATTGATTAGCGAGAGCATAATTTTCAGAGCTTAACGTAGAGTATAACAATTGGATACGGGTTCACGGTTCTTCCTTTCCACCCAACCCTTTTCTAAACAGAAATACTCGAAACCTACACGAGAGAGGGGATTTCCATGGATTTGGCTAGAATTTGGATGAGGAAGCTGAATGCTTCCCGAGGCGTGAAATGGGTGCGTTAACCGCTTGCACGAGCACACCCTGCATCAGGATAGGAGTGGATAGGGGTAAAGAGGAGGATGTGCTTCAACCCTCCGCTAATCCTTTGATTACTCTATTGTATTTAAAATCTCTCTTCTATGTCAGATTTAATAATATTCTTTTCGTCATATAAAATGTTTTAACTCCTGTGACTGTCTTTTTAAATTACAAAAATTTTTTGCGGTACTCACGCATTCATTGTCTAATTTCAAAAATATTACATATCTACAGAGGAATAAATATATATTTGGGAGGTTCATTGAAAAAGGAACTCTTGCGCAAAAAATCGATCATTGAAGTAGAAAGTTCTTGATGAAAAAGAAAGAAAGAAAAGAAAAGAAAAGAAAAGAAAAGAAAAGAGCAAGATAAGACAAAAAAACTAAGAAAATAAAAAGAAAGAAAGAAAAGAAATTCTTCGATAGTCGTTTCGAAAGGAGACGAACGGTTTTCCAATGGCAACTTCGAAACACCATATTGTACCCTCCCGAAAGACATCCTCCAGAAGTGTCCGCTCGTATCCTCTGGAGCGTCGATAATGGAAAAAAGGTTGGAGATCGGAGACGAGCCCTTTTCGTAGCTAGAAATGTCGGTCTTCCGCACCCCTTCCACAGCAGCCCTTCGTTCGGCGACCCTTTTTATTTTTGTTTTCTGGGATACGTTTGGAACACGTGGATGGCAATATCGTCGCTAGGATCTCACGAGGAGGTATAAGAGAAGAGTTATGTGCTCCGCTATGCGCGAGGGAATCGTAGATCAGCGGTTGGACGTCTGCGGGGACGTAGAAACGAACGAACGCGAACGAACGAAGAACCACCATCGTCGTTCCGCCTCCCCCCAGCGTTTCCTTCTTCCCTCGATCCCACCCTACCTCGAAGGCAACCACCCGCCCCTGTCCAACCCTCTCTTTCTCTCTTTCTCTTTCGTTCGTTCGTTCGTTCGTACGTTCTCTCACCCTCTCTCTTCCAACTCGTATCGCCGCTATCTTGGAAAGCCAGCCACGTCGTTCGTGCACGCACACCGTGTTCTCCGACCTTAGGATATATTCTCCATGTGTATGTATCTATATATATATATATACATACGTCTATATATATAATGTGTGCTTTTGTATGTTTACTGTGTGTTTGTTTGTGTAAGAGAGTGCGACCGAGCTAGATAGCGTATACATCATCCGCGTATACCTACGTAAAATGCCAAAGCAGGCGCATAAGGCGACGAACGGTCGAGTATCTTTCTACGTATATGTAGAAATGTGTCCAAGTATGTGTATACAATACTGGGTGTGGCAGCCAAGGCGAACTATTATTTCATTCGGTGGAAGCATTTGGTAGAGAAGGTGGAGGTGTACGACTTATACTTCTCTTCGCGATCCTTTCCTTCATTGTATAGGTATTCCATGTTTCTTCCAAGCCTGAGACATCTATGTTCCATATTTAAATGTACCCAAAAATTATCATTTATTTCTTTTTTTTTTTTTTGTTTTTTCTTGATTAGAACGATAGAAGATTTGTTATCTATCTTTTGATTTTTTTCTTTTACTTTTTATCAAAGTAAATGAGTCAATTGTTACCCTGTTCTTTTGCCGTGTCTTTCGAAATGGTAAATAATGAAGAAAAGGAGGTCGATTTCCATCTCAACAGCAGCACTAGCGGGAGTACCATCGTTTCCACCTCTTTTTCCTTCTCATTCTCTTTCTCATCCTCCTCCTCCCCCTCCTCCCCCTCCTCCTTCTTCTTTCTTTTTTCGTTCGTCGTTGGAACGCGAAGTGAGTCGCCTCGCTATCTTCGGTCCTCACGTAAATTACAGCAGCTCCGCCAGAGAGAAATGGTCGCCTCCTCTCTTTTTCCCTACGCCGCCTCTTTCTGCTTTATTTACATATAGATACGAAACCCATTGAGCTGGCAAGAAAGTACTTCCCTTTTTTATGGCTGTATTCATTCAGCATCTATAAAATTTGCCGGTCTCTCGCATTATCGTTTTCGAGTTCGCGCGTCGAACGTGCGAATTCTACGCCGATCTACGAATATGTTTTTTTTATTTTTGTATTCTTTCTTAATGATGTCGATGGCCTTTTTTTTCTCTCTCTCTCTCTCTCTCTCGTACACCAAATTTCTTAGTAAAATGTACTGTAAACAATGCTTAGTGTATGGTCGCGATGAACGTAAAGTATATTATTTTCTCCGATAATAGATTTTATTGTTATCGAGAAATAAAGTTAGTTGCGTAAATGCGGAACAGAATTTGTCGGTATACAGTGGTTGCAACGAGGAGAAAATTGGAGGCATTTTCGCGGTAGGTGTAATGGATCGAAGAATTCGGGCATAGCTCGAAACGTATTATGAACACACGCATAAACATCCCTTGGCGTTATCAGTTGTCGGACGCCGGGGCGCCGGATATTGTCGCATCCTCCGTTTTGCTCTCTCTTTCTCTCTCTCTCTCACTCACACACACACTCGCTCACTCGCTCTGCGTCTCTTTCTCTCTTATCCATTTCCAGCAAATAGGGGTTTGGGAAAATGCTCGTAGATAGAACAAAACGTAGAAAAGGGTAGGTACAGGTTGTAAGGGGTAGAAGTTAAACAAAAAAGTTAACAACCAATGCCTGAAACAATCGTAAATTCTTACGAAACGGAATTATACTCTATGAGAATTAAAGGGCAACTTTGTAAAATGTACTCGCTCGTATGTCGTCCTTTTACGGAAAGACCGAATAATCGTAAAGCAGTGCTACGTTAACTTTGAAAAAAAAAAAAACGTAAGGGAAACTACTCGTTTGTACGAGTTTCTTCATTTTTCTTTCTATTTTTTTTTTTTTTTTATACATATACGTATTTTTTTTTTTCGTCTTCGATTAACGATCTCGAAATATTTCCGAATCTCCGATAACTTGTATTCTCCGTCGAACTGCATGACGCAATATCACTTTCGCGCGCGAGAGTGATGTCATAATACTTAAATAAAAAAAAAGAAAAAAAAAGAAATAAACTGGTAGTCTTCGATCGACACCATATACATGCTTACCTATTACTTACTTACAAACGTGTAACGATGTTTCGTAACAATCAATTTGCTCGCAATTATTACAAATATGCTACTATGAACGCGTGCACAGTAATACTATATTATATTATCTGCAACGTGATATTAGAAGCTCGTTTTTAATAAATCAAATTGCAGAGATATTTGATCTAAGCATACTGACTCGTAAATTATTTTCTTCTCTTTGATTTTCTTTTTTCCTCTCTTTTTTCCCCACGATTTTTTTACAGTCTGTCTTTCTACCATAAAAAAGTTTGACTTTCGTGTTTTTTGTGACACCCGAATCGTCCCTGACCCTGTTCAACAAACATAAAAGATTTGGTTGTTAAGGTTTTTCCGAAGGGTCTCATAAAAAAGTCTAAAAGAACATTTTTTAGGAG